AAAAAAAAGAAAATATATGTATTATATAAATATGTGTGTACATACACACCGCGTGCACGTGGACCTTCCAATCTTTATCTTAATGAGTATTTTCATTGTTGCTTTGGGAGGGGGGAAAGCAGCAGATTTGTATCTTTCTTCTTCCCAGTTTTAAGCAGCGTAACCACATAGGAAAATTGGTGTGTAAATTTGAGTTTGTCATAGACTAGGAGAGACAGTGAAACAGGATAAGTATACAATTGTGAGGAAACTGCCATGAGTTCATAAGCAGGAAGGACCTTTTTAGAAGTGTTTAAGGATGTTAGGAATAGCGATGGATTTTTTTTCTTTAAAAAGTCATTGTGGCCAATAGTCAAGTACTGGTTGCTAACCTATGGGAAATAACAATATTGACGACTCCTAGGAAGATACCTGGGAAAGGTGGAAACATTTTACATTTTTATGGGGACTTTTTCCCAAAACATTTAATGGAGATTTTTAAAAAGTGGCTTTTTGACTTAAGCCTGGAAGTTCTTTACTGTGGATTATTAGTCATGCTGCAAATCCCAAAGTTGTTTTAATTGTGTGATAATTTGTAACTCAGGATGAAATCTAAGAAATAATTTATTAGCATAATTTAACTCATACTTTGACATTGATACATTGCTTGATGTCAAGTAGTCATTCTTGTTTCAATAACTTATTTGAGAGTGGGGAAGATAGTTTTCTGAATATAGTGTAGTAATTGTAACAATAGTAACACTGCTTTTATTAGAAAATTTTCAGTCTGATGGTACTAACTGCCTTAAAGTATTTCCTATTTGATTCCAACTGAGCTGAGGTAATATACATATAATTACTTTTTCTCATACTGGAGCAATTTTTGGTAATATTAAAATTTAATTTTCAAGATAAAAAATCCTCTTTTAGATCTTCAGTGATACAATAAAATAACTTCAGTAGGAGATGAATGTTAAGATTTGGTTTTAGATTTTTTGACCATTTGTGAGTACATACACAGCATTTAAGAATTTATCAACATGGTATCCAAAAGGATGGCTTTCAGAAAAGGCAGAAACTTGAAAGCTTTAGATGATTGTCTATAATGCTTAATTATTTTTAGAAACATAAAAATATGGGATGTTTTTATGTAAACATAAAGCATGTTATTTGTTATAGCAGTGGAACTCTCTTCCACTTAATGAGCAATATTTAACCATTTGACCCTAAGTAACTTTTTTCCTTGTGGGTACTGTCTAATAAGGGATATGTGAGTTTGCTATTGCTAGAAGATGCTTAAGCAAACATATGTTTGCTATTTATTTTAGTAAAACTTTTAATTAGTTGAATTGATCTTATTCAGGAAGATGGGGTTTGGAGGCTTTTATAAGCTTTCTTTGAACTGGGATTTTTGTTGAATATAAAAGAAAATTAGTCATTTAGGATTTTTTAAATTAAATAAGTTTTAGAGCAAAATATTGTTTCCTACATGGAACTCTTATCAGACTTGTTGATCTGATAGCTTTATTCTCCATTTGGTTTTAGCCCTTTAGGCAGCCTAGCCTTTTATGGTTTGACCATTGAACTCTAGATTCTGGATTCAGGATTTAGTTTAACCTCTTGAAGGAAAAGGCAATCACAGGCATTAGAATTGGAAGTGATCTCAGAAGGCTTCTAATGTAGCATCTTACCCAGTACAGTAAATCCCTCATGAGAACTTCCATGTCAGGTGTTCCATCCCATTATTAAGGGTAAAAATGCTGTTGTGTACGTCATCAGGTTATTCAGCAGTACAGGCTTACTGAGAACAAACATAAGAGTTTTCTTTTTCCCCATTCACTGCCTTTAACTATATTTTGTAGGCTCTTTATCTCCCATCGTGCTGTCCCCTATCCTCCATAACATGGGTAAATGGTAGCTTTTCTCTATCATTTACAGTTATCAAAAAGCTCTAGCCTGTGCTCAGTGGCTGACACCTGTAATTCTAGCACTTCCGAGAGCAAAGGTGGGAGGATGGCTTGAGCCCAGGAGTTTGAGACCAGCCTGGGCAACATGACAAAACCTTGTCTCTACAAAAAATAGAAAAATCAGCCGGGCATGGTGGCACGTGCCTGTAGTCCCAGCTAGTTGGGATACTGTTGTGAGAGGATCCCTTGAGCCTGGGAGGCAGAGATTGCAGTGAACAGAGATTGTGCTGCGGCACTCCAGCCTGGGTGACAGGAGAGTGAGACCGTGTCTCAAAAACAAACAACAACAACAACAACAACAACAACAACAAAAAAAAACTACAGTCTATTCCAGTTTGAACCTTCAATCTCATATTCAGTTTAAAGGTTTTTTCCTTCTGCATGGTCAGGCCACTTACTTCCTGAAGCACTTGGGGTCTGGAGGGCTTGTGGTAAGTTCCTGGGATACCTCTTTCTTTTCACTGTTGAGGGATCTTCTTGGATACTAACTTATCAAGAAGAGAAGTGGAAAAAGACGTGTTTGTTATCTGGTGCTATTAAAGTCCTCACTTGATTAACAGTGGCAGGCCACTGCAGTCCAGTGATAGGCAACCAAGCTGGCATTTTGGTGAGGTCTTGCAGGGAGACTCCTGCTGCACAGTTTCTGGATATGAAATTTTCTGTAGCTAAACCTTTTCCAACCTACACACCCATCTGCTTGCTCCCATCCTGTCAGTCTACCCACTGGTTACATGAATGGGCGTGAGTCCTGGTGGAGATCCTTTCTCTCTGCAGCCAAATATTTTGATAATGGCAAAACAACTCCAGTCCAGGTACTCTGTGGTTTCCATTCAACCCACTGGAAACTCACTTCCTTGTGATGCCAAATGGTGGCATACAGACCACTTAAGTCTGCCTTCTTTCTGAGCCCTGCCATTTCTCATCAGTTCTCATTGTCCCCCTTTTCAAGTAGACATGCAGGGTCAGTCATTCAGTCTGCTGCATAAGCAGACGTGGAGCTGGAGAATGGATGCAAGTGTCTTCTAGGCCCTTCTCATCTTGGTGGGTGATTTCTGTTGGAGGCTCCTGCCACTGTTTTGGGTGAAGACCTCCTTCCTTTCCCTGTGTTCTCCCTGAAGACTTGGAAGAAGTCTTTTCCTCTTTT